AGGGGATTAGAATATTCCAATCCCAGTAGTATATCAGACAGCATATGGAGTACTGCCCCCATCAGCACAGTGAACCACCAGTTTCTGTCATGTTCCTTCTTGTTGTAAAGTGCCATTGAGTAGGTTCTGACTCCTAGAGAGCAGCTGGTAGATTTGGACTGCTGACCTTGTGGTTATTTTACAGCGCCACACCTCTGTATTTAAGCTCTTCCCCAGTAGTACTTTGGTGAATCCTTACAATGATCCTGGATTGTTTTGTTCCTTCAAAATACTAATTTTAACAGAAGCCCCAGTATGCTTTTAGACACAGTGAATTGTTCTGTTCACTCATAGGGGAAAGGTGCCAATTAATAAAATGGAAAATATGCCTTTTCCTTATCATTTCCCAAATTCAATTAGGTAGATAAGTAAACTAGGGCCCAAGTTACTAATAGAATGAACATAATCAAAAAATTTTTTTAAAAAGTAGGATTTGGCTGTTCAAGTAGTTGCCTGGTGATAGAAGTTTGTTGTTGTTGTGGTTGTTAGGTACCATCGAGGTCGGTACTGACCCATAGTAGTGACCTTATGCACAGCAGAACGAAACATCGCCAGATCCTAGGCCAACCTCACTACTGTTACCACGCTTGAGTCCATCGATGCTGCCTCTTGGCCAATCCATCTCGTTGGGGGTCTTCCTCTTTTTCTCTGACCCTCCACCCTACCAGACATGATATCCTTCTCCAGTGAGTGTTCCCTCCTGACAATACGTCCAAACTATGAGAGATGAAGTTTGGCCATCTTGGTCTCTAAGGAGCACCCTGGCTGCACCTCTTCCAAAATGGATCTATTGGTTATTTTGGCAGCCCATATGCTCCATATTCTGTCTGATATAATAGTGGTCTTTGGATTGGAATATTCCAAAAACTCCAAAGGATGTCCCATCTTAAAGTGGAATCTTCTATTACCAGGAATGTTACTTCCACCTCTGCTCTTTGTGAGAGGCCTTTTGCCTTCTACTGAATAAGAATAGTCAGGTGATGAGTGGTTTTCATCCTCTCTAGACAGGTCTGGT